TATCATCCACAAGTTATCCGTTCATTCACGTAAATCAACGATATTCAATGGAAAAAGCTGAACAATTGAAAAACGACATGAATACATATACATATCAATCCATGTGCAGCACATAAAAATAAGCAAACAATACTGTTGATAGGATAATAACGACGAACTAATGATTATGTTTGTTTAGGTATCTGTATCAAAAAACGGACGAGTTGCATACTTTTTCAGATTCAGTGCCATTTATGAGGCATAGAATGAATCAATCCAAAGGAATAGCATTAAAATATGGTGATGGGTGGTTATTAGATGGATATTTGTTGAGTATTTTGATGGTTTAATGATGGACTGACTGCTTTGTGCAATGGTGATGATCACTGAGGTGAATGCAAATTTATGGGATGTAAAGGAGACGATAGATTGCTTGTTTGATCGAGCAGTAGTGACTCGTTTGGTTGGGTAGTCAGTCACCATAACGAAGCATTTTCAATCTGTGGACAAAGCAGAACCACCAGTCACTTATGAGTTATTCAATCAAGTTCATCATAAAAAGTCTATTAGACGTACTCAAACAGCTCGCTCGGTTAACTCGTTCACGCTTATGGAGCAGTTGAAAACGATCGTCATTTTACCTCATTATAACTGAACAAATAAATAAAACCTATTGTTTGTTTGTGTACACAAAAGGCGTACAAGGACAACAAAAGGTGAGAACCACAAATAAAGGTATCTATCTATCGTCAACGATGAACACATCTCAAGGCGTATGGGACAGAAGAGGCTAGAGAGACTTGGTAATGCTGCAAAAACAGTTGAATCGAGTACGATTCAAGGGGTGGGAGGGTGGATGCAGCAGATAAGTAGGTCGTTTGGTGGATTGCTCGGTTCATAGCACGGTTAGTTACCAAGCGAACGAGCGAACAATTTAGCGAACGGATGTTCCTGGCGGATAACGAAGAGAATAACGGACGAGAGGTGTGAGCTTTAAGGAGAGGGTCATGAATTGACTGAGGTAAATACAAGCAGCGAACAAGCCAACCAACCTG